GGCATCAACTGCGTGCATGTTGAAACGTAGGTAAATAGAAGAGATCTTTCCCCTTAAACTCAGTCTGACTTTACTTTGCCAGTTTGTGGTTTGCACTAGCAGTGCACACTCATCTTGGCAGAACAGGAATCGAATGGAAAAAATTCCACACTCCAGATAGCTAGTACACGTATAGAGAAGTAAAAAACTATTGTTCGAGAGGTCTCAATGGACGTCTGAGGAGCCTGGAACTATATGATCCCAGTGTCAGGAAATCCAGCTTTCCATCTATGCTATGTAATGTCTTTGCTAGTTTTAAAAATGATTTGGTAAAACGGTCACCTGGCTCTGAGTGATACATAATTGGCCATTCGCGATGGCACTAGGAGCCAATTCCAGCTGCTAGCCACCCACTGTCCTACTTATTCTGATGCGTGGTAAAAGTTTGTCAGAAGAGTCTCATTTGGCTCAGTGGGAATGAACACACCGAAGTAATAATGAAGAAGGACCCCAAATCTTCACAGAAGAAGCCCCGACTGTGCCATAATCCCGCCAGTGAGCACCATTAAAAAAAGACCGGAAAGAAGGCGAGATTTCCTTTTGTATCTCTCAAGAGAACCTATTTTCACTTGTTTTCTGAGCATAGGTCTCCCATTTTGAGGAAGAGCAAATAAGCAGCTGTGATACTTTAAAGAGCTGATAATGGGAACGGAGCAAAATTTCCTCTGATTTCCCTGAGATGTTCTCTCCACGTAGTTGTTTTTCAGAGTTCTGCCTGAAGTTCTTGCATTTTTGATAGTACAGTACCTAGTTCTACCTCATTCCCCAGAGCCTTTGTGTGCTACTGCACCCACAGGGGAAAGAATCTGTACAGTTACGTTTAGAAGAGCAACTAACTCACCATATTCAGCCGCTCCATTGCTTCCCCTCTCACCAGTTGAAATATTTTGTGACAGGAAACGTCCACAACCTCTGAGCAACAAAGAGTCACTATCTATAAGGATTTGTTATTGTGATTCTCGGTTTTTCCTTTCTTTTCCGTATGTAGAAGTAGCGTTTGTGATTTCTTTGTTTTTACAGCGATCTTGCAAATAAAGAGGAGAGAGGGTGGCAGCAGGTGAAGGGATCACACTCATGGTTCAGAACTGTGTGTCGTGCACAACCCGCAAAAGTTCATGATACCATCTACATGTTTTGTTAGTCTTTAAGGTGCTACTAGACTGTTTAAGTTTCTCAGGAACAGAATCTGTCTGGCCTCGGATTCTTGCTGCTAAATATAGAAAGGGCCTAGCATTAATTATAAATCTTGAAAAGTGCGATTTAAATAAGAGGAGGCTTTTTAAAATGCTCAAAACATCTACAATAGGTGACGGGAAGCTGCCAAGTGTTTCTAAATGCTCCATTGTCCCATACCTCACTGGAGAGTGATATTGTTATAAACTGTATAGAGTCGTCGTGTTTAACCTCTTAGCAGTATCAGTACTAGTTGTCCGAGGCTTTTAGGCCAAGATTCCTACTACCCGCTAGCTCCGTTGCCCAGTTTTCTTACAACCAGAGGAGTCCTGTTCTTAGACATGGCTTTCTTCCAGCTTGCGATGCCTTGCAAAGGGGACCTGAGATGCCGATTGGGCACCACAAAAATATTGTGGGCATTTTTAAAGTAATTTAAGAATCAATGGTAGATACATCTACCGAAGTTGCTTAACTTGATCCTGAAACGCTTTGCTCAGAAGCTCACTATTGCAGGACGGTTACGGTACTCCACTTCTGCGTGTAAGCAGACTTCTGCGAGCAAACTAATGCAGGGAAACAGAGTGATGGAAAAACCACAGTGTGTAGCAGTGAAGATGGGCTGATTTATGGAGGAGTTTAATGATGTCCTCAGGAGGTGTGTATGTTTCAGGTGACTTTATAGTTATCGGGGCCTGCTTTTCTTATACATCAACAATAAATTTTAAATGATTCACGACCCGAACTACCTCTGTTTTTCTGCTTTATGTAACTCCTAGAGTTAAGGAATGGATTATTGCCAGTTCCACTCAACGCATCGGACACAACATTAAGACACCATCCTGGCCTCTCCTTTTTATTCTAAGTCTAGAACCACAATCATTTTCAATGCCTCGCCTTAATTCTCTTCCAAATTATGGACTACCCCCCCCCCCCCACTCCCTCATGCGTATTGTTTTCTGGCCATGTTTGGGGGAGGTGTTCAGGAACTGTAACGTGAGAGTTGGCTGGATGCCATTTACAAAGGACCGCTATTGCGGAGCCAAAATATCAGCTGGTCCTGCTCCAGCGAGTCAGAAATCCACACAGACATTTTTCCTGCCTACTGGACTGGGTGGGGTAGATTGACAGAGTGCTACTAGTGAGTTAGTTGTATCACATCAGCTTTTCTCTGGGTTCGAGCCACAGCGCCTGGATGGATAAAAATGAGTCTGTCTATGGCAAATAGCCCGGGAATGTGGCTTTCCTGTGCAGCTGTTGAAAAATAGCTTGGCAAGAGGGGGAAGGAGGGGACTGACTGGACACGCCGACTAGTCCCAACAATGGCACAGCCGTGGGAAGGGCAGTGCGAATCCATGGTGGGTTAATTTGCACAGGAGGAATGAGGGGGCTGGAGCTCTGGCAAGCTACATTTCTCCCCTGTTGCCATAGCGCTGCTAGCTGAGAAGGAAAAGCGGGGGCTGGCAGGCTGCCTTTTAAAAGGAATCTTCTGCATAGACCCAGGAAGAACTCGGATGAGCAGCATCAGACAAACCCATCAGTGCAGCAACAAGGACAGTTTGGGGTGGCATGTAGCACGGTGGGAATCGGGGGAGAAGAAAGAAAAAGCGGGACGCTATGATTACCACTTAAAATAATTCAAGATTTCCCATTACCCACGTGTTATCTCCACCAAATGATCAAACCTTTATAGGAATGATCTTACATTCACAATAAAGTCAGTTTGACTCCTGGGCTACATTAAAAACTCCAGCACAATGACAAACATGCAACAGGCCACGCTGACAAGCAGAAAGAAATCTTTCCCCTCACCTCCAGGAATCCACGTGAGAAACAAACAAAATAACTTTGCCGCCTCTCCCCCAGATGCAGTGACCGAGAGGAAAAGAGATTTTTTTTAAAGCACAGAGCGGTACCCAATGGTTCCGAAGTGTCTTTCTAATTTGCAGCAACAAACCGGTGTGAATACCAAACATCGGAGTCCAAATCCCCAAGCCCAGGTCTATGTCCCATAGATTGGGAAAGGAAGTTAGTCTAGAAAACACACTATGCGCTGCCGAGTGGCAGCCCTTAGGAAAAGACACCTAATAAAAGCCCTCTTTGACCTTAAGGTTATTATTTTTCTAGCATAAAAGCAGTTTGATCAATGATCTTCCAGTAAGACTTCCAACCTAATCACTCAACAAGGATGCTGCTACTGCCGAAGACAGCTTGAATTAACCCACCGATCACCCTTTGGTAAGGGTGGGGATGGAAGGGTGTTTGTTTGCACAGCCTACCTCTGAATGTAATTCAAACGTACAGATACCAACGCTCAGCACCCACTTATGAGTCTATGTCGCGAACAGAAGGGTATCTGGGCAGGGCCAGCCTACAGCCAGCCCTTGCCCCGGTTGCACGGCAATGGCCACGGAGCCGATTCAATGCAAAATAAACCCCGCGATGATATATGGGCCTTTTTAGTCGTGTCCAAAGAAACAAGCATTCCTGAAGATGGTTGCTAAGAGCAACGTCTCTTAAGCACCACCTTTAGCCCAGAAGAAGGCAGAAGAAAGTCCTGATAGGAATTCAGCCCAGGAGATCGATATCAAACCTGTCGCTTTTATAATCATGGCCAGCCTTCCATTCAACAGGAAAATGATTTTTTAAAGACATGCAAGACATGCTACCTTTTCCCTAGCACAAGAGAGCTATTAATGGCTCTTGCAAGTGCTACAGTGTAAATCATGCAGGCACCGAAAAGTAAAAGCAGCATTTTCTTTTGTATAGGTAGCCAGCTGGCGCACAGGATGCCGCTTGTTGGTCAAAGCAACTTCTCCAACGCGCGCACAGCAGGAGAATGGTATTAACACAGAGTCACTAGGCTAGTACCCCTTGGGCCGCCGATTGTTGAATGGATCGGTGCTCCTCGCAGTTCTCACCACCTGAACTCTTATATACTTTGCAGAACTTTTCATGCCCAGGTCTGCCTTAAGGGCAAGAAACAACATGAGCTTCGAACTGGTGTTGAACATTCCTCTTGCTTCTACTACCCTAAGCAACCCTATCTGTGGGAGGCTAACACAAATTTCACACCCGGTTTTTAATATTAGTTGCCACCAGATGCTGAGGGTTTCTTTGATCTGGGAACCCGCTATGCCCGTTGTCACTGAATTTTTCACTGATCTGCCTATGACATCTCTCAGTCTCTGTCTTACAGAGAAATAATTCCCAATTCGCTCTCTGACGAGAGGAGCGTCTCTGAAATGTGTCAGCCCTGCATCAATGCCACTTGTATTCAACTAACTGTCGATAAAGAACCTGTTCTACAACAGCGGAATCCCACCAAAGTAAACCAAAAGAACAAAACTGAAGGTCTTTTATCGGGACACGTTAACAGAGCATCTTCCCGGACGCTCCGACTCAGAGAGGGCCATGGAAAAGCTAGAGGTCGAAACTTACCAACTAGTTGTCAGGTTTTTAACTAATCAACAGCTATTTCAGCCGCGTTTCCCACTGCTATGGAAACAAAAAAGGAAGCCACCCAAGATCTGATCGTCACTCCGCAAAGCCTACAGGGAGCACGTTTGCCAGTCATTTTCCGCTATTATTATTTATCATCGGCGACACAAAAAACCCCCACACAATAATTTGGCCGCGCTGACGCAAAATAAAGAGGGTCTTTGGTAACTGCCTCCAGTAGCACACCCCAGACCCTCGTCTCTCGCGCAGTTCCCCATCTAGTGACATAATCGTACATATAACTATTCACCCTTAAATACACAATGTAAAGTGTGTGGGGGGAAGCTTACCAAATCTTAGCACATGTGTGGTTCCTTGAGAATATCCAATCCACAGTAAGCAAAGAAGGAGTCTAATGGTGCATCTGAAGACTGGATTAGTTAGAATCGGGGAAATAATCTTCATGGTGTTTCTATGCACACACGCGTTGCCTTACTTTCCCCCTAAGCGTCAGGTTCCCGGGTAGGGCAGAAATGAGGATACGTAGACTGGTAGCCCTCAGACTCGATCACGGCATGGTCACAGAGAGAGGAGAGAGTATACGCTTCCCAAACCCATTAGCAATCCCTGCATGTTCTTCATTCACTGCGCCAAGGAGCAACCTTCAACTGCAAGGAATGGTGGGACATCCATGTTAGTCGGGGGAGAATCCTTGCGAAATCCAAACACACACAATGTCCAGCCGGGCAAACCTGGGAGGCAAGAAAGGAGGGAAAATCAATAGGCAATCCAGCTGGAGAAATCGCTGAGCTATCGCCACATAGCGAGAGTCAACGAGCTGCAGGCGTTTTCGTGGCGAAGCTTTTGCTGTGCTCCCATTCTACTGCACTGCTGCACAGCTTCTGACGTGAAGCCAAGATTAAGTGAGAAAAATTGAGATAGTTCTTCGCTCCTTAAGGCTGCCTGCCAGACAGCCTTCCACATTTCTGCCATGCAACCGACCCCATCGTCTCGCGTGCTTGAAAAATCAGCTCCGCTTTATTTACGTGCGTACAATTTTTTTGTTTGTTTTCAACAATGGCTATTTTCCTGCAGCTATGGTATACGTGTGCGCGCGGTTCTATAAAATCCACTTCATACATTTTAACAGCTGACGAGCTGGATGGAAATTACTTAGCCTCGGAGTTCTGAAAGACGGGGGCTATTACAAGGGGGGGACAATGTGTCACGCAGGGTATCAAACTAAGTAAGGTTTAGGCTTAAAAACGTCTCAATAGCTCAATTCACTTTCTATGACTTGTGTACATTTAATGCTCTTCATGTAAATGTGATGACTTATATACTGGCAGTCTTGTGGCAACTTGTAGCGGACTCTGCTTACCGTACATCTAGCTTTAGAAAAGTACAAAGGAATTTCCTGTGTTAAATAAATAAATAACTCTGTGCTGAATTGAAAGACCTACATATTCATTTTGCTCAGTTTGCTTGAAACGACAATGCTCTATGACAGAGAGGATGTGTGAATGTTCATGTTTCACATTCTACACTCCAACATGCCTCTCTGTCTTTGCACTGATCTCTCTTTCACGGTGGTTTTATTAAGGTACTACTTTTTTATACGTGCACTGCGAGATCTATGGCTAAAACGGGACTGTAGTACACTAAGCGCATATAATATTCCACTATCCTAAGTACAACAGTACATGCTGGCTTGCTTCTGGGACATTTAGTTTGTACCCCAAACAGCTCTGAACTCGTGTATTCCTGATAAAGGAGCATTCATTCCCTGCTCCATTTCCTATTTTCCTTGGGCACACAAAATATTTTTAATTTGTGTATTATCTGCTATTCATTAAAACATAATTGAGATAATGGATAGTGATTTAAGAAATCTGAACGTGAAGCTGTCATTGAAGCTATTTGAGGTTTTATAATAGATATTAAAAGATCATTTCTAATACCCCACAAGGAAAATGACCCCCTTTTCTCGCCGAAAAAAAAATCTCATTGAAAGATTTTTTTTTTATCATAGATCAAGACAGCAAATACTTGGCTGTACAGAAATAAATATCTATAACGTTAGATTGAAGAAATACCTTCTTGGATCTATCAGGAATGTGGCTGGAGTTGTGGTTATTCTTAATAACTCTATGCATACTTTGGACATGCAGAAGTAGTGATATTCGAATTGAAATAATTACCTATAATCTAGGTGTTATGTGTCCACAAAAGCATAAACAATTCACAATAACTTTCTACCCTTATAAACTACTGATTTTCTCTGCTCATATTTACCTTACGATATTGTAAAATGCTGATGAAAAGAAATTTACATTCTGCAGGGGGATTATTAAACGTCTCTGATTTCTCGTCTTTAAAATGGAGGCATAACTGCAATGTCAAAAATAAGTATCATGAATGGCTAGTTCTGCAGTCTAGCAGGCAATTCAATCAAATGATTTGACTATTGGAGCACTTTGAAAAGAACACCTAGTGCTAAAAGCAAGGCTATCTAGCGACTCCTTCAGTTCTCATTTAGAATATCTCTCAGGAAAATACAGTTTTAGATATTCTTTCATGTATGTGCTGTTTCATTTACTCTGTTGTACTTGGACTAAAACTGACCTGAGTTGTGATTAAGCATTCTTAAAATTTCTACAGTGATGAATTACCGCAGATTAGGTATCTTCAAATGCTCTTTCAGTTGCCAAATATCAGAATGTAGCTCCGTTTATAAACTGAACTTTTTAAAAGCCATGGAAATGGTGAGATTCATTGTCTTTTTTTCAAATGTAACGCATTGATCAATAAATGAAAATAAACTATTTTAACTATCTGTATCCAACAAACTGATTTTCTACATTATCTGGAAAACTATACAGGTACCTGTAATAAAAGAGCAACAAAATTCCCAACTTCCCAAGGCTTTTTTATACGATCACTGAAACATCAAACATGTCTATTATTATAAGTGGCTTTTAAAAATAAAATGTTCAGTTTTCTATAGGGCAAAAACTGTGCGCACGCATGACACTCAAATTAACTTTCTTTTCACTCTTCATAACTGTCCATGACTAACCTGAGAGCACTCAACACCACGGACAGCGACTGGACCTGTCCATTGGAAATAGGGTGGCGATGGGAGGGTTCAGCACCACGGAGAGCAACACTCCTGAAGCATCTTTGCTTAAACCGACTTTCCACGAGTCAAAATACATTTACCCCCTACACTGGTTTCGCAATAGAGAAAGCGAATTCTCTAGTATCTTATGTATTTTTCTCAAGGAAGATTGTGACTAACCCAATCTTACAAGGCCTCCTTACTTTTTGGCCATCAAATATTTAGAATTCAGTGAGAAAAAAAAATCTGCCTACTCTTCTTGGCTAAATAACATTTATAAACTATACAATTAGCTAAAATCTCAAATTTCACCACCTCCAGATTCTAGTCTGTTTATGAAGATCACTTTCATTTTTTCCCTTTATTGAGAACCTTTTTTAAAAAACCTTTCACTTCTAAAATATTTTAGTATAAAAACAGAGAAGGTCTTATGCCACCCTACAGCATTCTTCTTTCCAGTATTTTTCACATCTACAGGATTAACACCGCTAATCATGCAGTATTTTATGGGGGAGCTCAAACTGTCTTTGTAATACTTGTCAACCTGCTACTCAATTCTTTTCGGATATACAGCTACTTGAAGCTGGTGTCCACGGGGACCCTATTCTCCACGTACCAAATAATCCGCCACAATAATTGAAATATTCAGTTTCCTGTTATAAGTCTTGGTTGTTTTCTTCAACTTCAGCATAAGGAGTCTGGTAGCAATGTGTTTCAGTGCCCAACGCACGGGTGAAGCAGATATTAAAATGAGTTTTCAGCTACAAAAATAGGCATTGAATGAGTTCATTAAAATTATGTTGGGTATTAAAAGCCTGCTACTTCTCTGTCTATGTCTGTGCCTTGTGTATACAATGATCTTGTGTAAATAACGTTGTCTTTGGAAACGGGAAATTTGTTTAAATTATGAGTTTCAAAGACTACCTTAAGCCATCACATTTAAATGATTATTGTTTATACCAGGTATGTCTACTTCTTCGGAGAATATTTAATTGCCTTCTCTTACAATAAAAGTTAATCTAGTTCCACTTAGCTGCCACCTGCTGGGATATACATTTTACCACTTCAATTTTTAAAAAGACAATCCTTTCTATGATCAGGTCATAGCCACCTAAGAAATAACTACAGAGCTCGTATCATGGACCTTACATCATGTAACTTCCTGATGGGTTCCCTCCCAAGAATAACAGAGAGAAATGTATAACCCATATGTCGCATATGTTCCCTGACGCTTTGTTCCTTGGATATTTTTCTGTGAATCGTTGCAAACGCCTCAGACTTGTCTGCCACTAGAGTCCTCCTGCTGTTGCAATCTGGTGAGAGGAAAGCAGTAGCCTCCTGCAACACCTGACCAAGCCCCACCAGATCTGTAGACAGAGATATAGCAGATTTGCTGACAAATCAGTAATCTGGTCCAGCCCTTTAAACGTTTGCCAAAGTACTAAAATGAATGTTGATGTTATCAGTTAAAAACACATTGCGGCCCACTTGCACTCCACTCCCACAAGCTATAAAAACGGTAGGTCCCCCTTGTCTGTTATTAGCTTAGTCCTGATTTATAACCAAGTTTCTGCTGCGCCAACGATTAATGACATTTTAAGATGGTAATTAATTTTTTAGCTGCTGGAGAGACGCGCATCCTAATTAACGAACTATGTGATAGATTTACTTGTTCAGGCACTTTTGGACTTCACAGCAATGCACTCCTTAGCATATTTTAAGCAGCAAAAGCAAACATTTATGGTTTTACCCATACATCAGCTTTTTTCTCCCTTCAGTGTCTGAGAAGGTGTGGAGAAAGATTTGTCTTTATTCCACCAATAAGTTTAAGAACAATTGAAGGGAGCTTTTCATTTGAACGCATTCCTTCATTTCCACTGCACAGGGTGTATTCGCAACCTCGATCACACCATACAGAAAGGAATGGGTCCCACTACAGAGAGCCACGGACACGCAGCAGGTTACAATGAACGGCTTCTCAAAGACTGTGGAATTTCACGTTTGATCAAGTACGACAGGACTGGCTATCATATAGCAGATGGTTGTATAATGCAGTCGATGATGGGGGAGAAGAAGGGGATCAGACATCAGGCAAGTACAGACCACCAAGAGCCCTTACTATTAAGTTAGAGCACATGTCTCAGCCTTCCTCCTCCTCTGGCTAGTCTGGCACGGAAGGCGACTTCGTGTATTCTTAACACAAAATCGTGACCCCGGAGAAGGAAGTCAGCAGGGTCACCAGAGGAAATTACACTCCTCAAGCTTGTGAGGCTAACTCGGATCCTGCCCTGGCACATGGGGACTGTATAGCGCCAAGGAGCCAAAGCAACAGATATGCCCGGGATACTTTGGGGAAGCTGGCGTTGCCCTAACCTGGGAGGGGGGGGAGAGTGGGTTGGCCAGCCGGATAAGTGGTCACCAGGCAGTCAGTAGGAATCCGGTCCGAAGCAGTGGCCAGCTCAGCCACCTGCAAGCCGGTCTTGATTTATCCCACCCTCCTCCCTCAATGTCACCAACAAACCATGCCCGGTCCGGTCCCCAGCCCGGCCGCTCTCAGCTGCCACTTCTCCACCCCCCTCCTCCGCTCCTGTCCTCTTGCCCCTTCTGCCACCCCGCTCACAAAGAACGCAGGAGAACTAAGGAGCCGCGGCGCTCAGAGGCAGCGAGCCGCTGGAGTTCGCCTTACCTCGCGCTGCGGTCGGGGGCTCGGCGGGACGGGCCGCGTGCGCGGGGCAGGCAGAGCCCGGGCGAGAGGCTGCCCACAAAGTAGCGCAGCAGTTGGCGGGGCTGTGCGAGCGCCGTGCAGCCGGCGCGCGGAGCGCGAGTGAAAGCGGCGGCGGCGGTGGCGGCGGCGGCAGCTGCAGGCGGGGAAAGAGACACGCCTCCTGGCGGGAGCGCTGCACAGCGCCCTTTAAAGGCGCCGAGCTCCTTTTCCTGCTCCGCCGCTGCTGGGGCCCCCCAAGCGTCTCACACACGGCTCGAGCCCCTGTACTCGCCTCCCTCAGCCGGGCCTGCACGCCCCCCCTCCTCCAAGCGCGAACCAAGCAGGTGGCTGCTTGACCCTGCTCTTTTGTCCCCACCCGCCTGTGCAGTCCCCTCCCGGGACAGAGCTCTGCTCTCGCAGCTGGTGCCAAAGGCAGCCCTGAACCTGATGCAGCATTTTGGCCTGGGGGCACCGCGGACACGGAAAGCGCACAAAGAAGCTCGGAACCGTGTGCCGCTGCCGATCGTGCATCATCCCTGCCTGTTCTTTCCTAAGGGCGGGGGTGACAAAGGGGAGAAGAATCAGGGGGCTGGAGCGCCACAGAACTCAACCTGTCCCTGCGTGCAAATGCCATACATAAAGCGGAGTTACCTATAGCCTGTAGTGGGAATCGGGGTTGCATTTGTTCTCCAACAGCAGCTGACTTGGGGCTTGGGAGGATGTTGACACGTACAAACGTAGCTTCCTTGGGCTACGGCCCTGTTGCTTCCCCAGGAGGGATTCCTCTTGCCCTCCCTGCTCCAATACACCTCTCTAAAAGGGGGAGGGAGCCGAGTGCTCGCACTCCTCTCCCCTCCAGGAGAAACTGAATCCCAGCCTTAGGAGAATGGGAGCATCTGGGGAAGGCAAATGAGGCTGGAAGAGTAAACTGGGGTGTCAGAGGGAAGAGTACCAGAAAGAAAGACAGAAAAAGAGCAGCTATTGGGAAGGTCTAATCAAACATCTATCATCTCCCTTCTCTGACTTGCGACCTGACCCGTAACGCTGCCGCAGCTTGCTTCTCAGAAATCACCTGTAGAAGCAAAGGAGCCTCTCCCACTTCCCCAGCCAGCAAACCCGAGCTCTGCCCTGCTTTAAAGCAGCGCTGCAGAAATGCTTTTCAATCTGCTCTCTCCCCTGTTCAAGTCCCTATGCAGTATGAAAAAGGCTTCCCTATTTTCCCATTCTCCCTCGGTTTTCCGCCTCCCGCTTGGGAGCTGCCCGAAAACATTGCTGAAATCCCTTGCTTTCATAGCTGTAGCTTTCCCCCTGCGTTCTGATTTCTAGCTCACATCTGCTGTCTGGCAGCTTTGGAGGGATTCCCCGGTTCTCCTGACTCCCCCCTGCGTTCTGCTCCTTACCCTGGGTGCGACTCGCAGTCTTACAGATGTGACCCCGCACCAAGTACCGCTTAGGCTCCCAGAAGAGCTGCTTAAAAAACATTACAACACTTAACTCTCCAGCTGCAATCAATGAGCTGGTTTCCAGGGGGCTGGCGGAGCGGAGGGACCTCAAAGAGTTAGTTTTTTGGGAGCTGAAAAGCTCCTGTAATTAAGTAAACAGCAGACTTCTTGTGCAGAGTAAATAAATAGTCAATGATTCCATTGTGCAGCAAAAAGCCGGCAGTACAGACGCGCGACTGACTCACTGTGATTGGGCTGGGGATGCTGTGACTTGCACCTTAATCGGCCCATAGTACATAGCTTAATTACTTTGCTGCACACTTGCATGGCCCGCAGAAAACTCATTAGCCGCTTAATGTGCCCGAGGCTGTAACGGGGATAACAGACTACATACACTCTCGTAGGAAACCACTCGTGTTAACCTTAGGAGATGAAAAGAGGGAATGAAAGGTGAACAGAAGCGGGCAGATGAAGTTTGACAGAGCTCCCTTTTGGGGGTGGGTTAGCTGAGAAACGGCACCCTGTGGCACTCTAATGTAAAAAAGAGGGAATTTGGAGGACATTGACTAGATCAATGATAATATCTCCACCACAATGCAAACTGCAGCAGCAATGCATGGGGATCCACTTCCAATAAACGAGGAAGGGAGGTAGTTCTGTTAAATAAACAGGAAAAAAATAATTTTGATGTCAAGTGACTTGATGGGGTCAATCTACTTTAGTTCATGGTTTTTTTCAATATTACTGACTAATGATAATTCAATATCTGATCTGAAAATATTGACTAAGAAGTGTATATCTAGTGTTTGTTTTTGGGAGGAGAAAGGGAAAAAGAGATACAAGTAATGTGGCATTTCAGTCCTTAAAATAACAATGATATGCCAAGTTGACAATGGGTAGCGCATAGAGTAGTTTCAGATCTATGCTTTCTTTGCTGAGATATTGGTTACATCACATCTCCTTTTATTGACCACAATGAATTAATATAACGGAGAGATCTACCTCCTGCCCTTTCCACAACCCAACAATATCTTTCCATAAATCTGCATCACCAAGGAGACATGAAATATGTGATTCCCAAAAGTCTAGCTAATATTATTAACACTTACCATCCAGAGATCTTAAAGTACTTTACAAAGATATCATTAGCAGCATTTTCCAAACAGAAAAAGTTGGAATGGGAAAAGTTAAGTGACTTGCACAAAGTCACACATCAAGTTAATGGCAGACTGCAAAGAGAACCTGGGTCTCCTTACTCACAAATCTTTGTTGCCATTTCGAAATATGCACTTACCATATATTTACAATTCCTAGTCATGCAGAAGTTCCATTCAGAAAACAATGGGCACTGGCAACGTGGACTGATTCTGAAAAGTTCTCAGGAAACTGTAGTTCAAAAATATCAAAGAAATCTCAAACCTGGCATGAATCAGACCACATAGATCACCGGCAGATCTCATAAAAACTTTACAAAATTTGACTTCAGAATTTCAAATTCTGACACCAGACACCTCCCTCCCTGCTTTCCCTGCCCCCTCAAAAAAAAAACAAAACAAACCAGGCAGACTTTTTCCACACACTAAAATGTGATATTTTTTTTTACTCACTGCAAACTGGTAAAAATTAATTTTTGAAATTTTGATTAAAATTTCAGATTTAAAGAAAAGGAAGGATTAACTGGCAAATACTTTCATGGAAATGTTTTTTCAATTGTTTGTCCAGTTCTGCTGTTAAGAACTTTGAATGGAATTACATAGAGTCCCTCATAGTTAAGGGATATTGAATTAAGATAAAATAGTACTAGTCCCCTGACATAGAAAAGTACTGTAGCTACTTATCATAAACTACATAATGGATTGTATATGTTTTTATCCCCAATATATAGTTGTAAAATATTACAATGCCCACTGACTTAATTTAGAATTTGAGGGGTGCATTGAAAGCCAATGGTAAAAGCATTGCTTGGTTAAATATTTAACATGTGAATACCATTTTTCTTCTTTCTCCTTTAATGTCACCGTAAACCTTGAAAGGGTTCATGATCCCTCAAGTAGGTTTTCTTGGAACTTTGTGAACAGAGCCTGACCTAGTCAGGGGAAGAGCCAGAATAGATTGACAAGAACAGCCATTTGGAGTAATTCTGACTGATCTCAGAGGGCTGACAGGGCAGTGAAGACTATAGGTCCAGTGTAATGATTGAGTCAAATGCAGAGATTAAATTCAAGACTTCTGGATCTAACAGAATAGGCCTTTACTTGAGCTAGTAACAGCATTGGCCTCTGCTTGATATAGAACATATCTATACAGTTTCAGTTAACGAAACAAGTCTTTTAACTTAGATTTAGTAGCCTCAGTGATCTCATAAAGCTTCAAACATGAACTAGCCACTAGAGGGAGACAATAAGCCACATGATGTTAGCATGGGTTACGCCAGGAGGGTAGTAATGCTGAATTGAATTTGTAATTAGGTTTTATGTGCATGTGTTATACATTACTGTTAACTTAAAAATGTGCTCGATCACATGCTATTTTGATTCTTCCTCCTCATTCATTCAGGGAGCAACCACAAAGTGCAGAGTGCCAATCATCAGATGCAGGGTACAGCTGCAGTACTGTGTGAGGAAGTTGGGAAGGAGCAGAAGCAGCCTGGGAGACTGAACCAAAAAACCAAGGAGGTCCAAGAGACATCACTGTCTCAGCCACACAGGGGTGATCAAGATGAGACTGGCTCAGTCTGCCTGGGGATTGATAATAACCAGAGGGATGACTGGGATATGAGGGAAGGCATACAGGAAATCTGAGTGCCATCTGAAATGCAAGGGCATGGCAAGGGTGGAAAAAGAATAACTGTAACAGTGTTCTCAACCAAAGAGCCAAAATGAGTGCTTAGCATGTGCCAAAGGAGGATGAACAGATGGGCTGGGCCCCAAGCTCAAATACTTCTTGCGAGACCTGTCCCTCTTCCAGGGGAAGTGACACTTTCAAAAGAGAAAGGACAGCACAAAAGGATGTTGTGGCATGGACACCTGTTATTGTTGTGCCTCACAGTAGTTCTTCCATGGGGACAGATTTGTATACCCCCAAAGTCCTTAAGGTAGCCCTCGGATCCTTAAAGGAATGCAAGGTTTCATTAGTCTCATCAAAAAACAATGTTAAGCTGTCAAAAGGTAAGTTCTCAATCATTGGTTAGACCTCTAGCATGGTTCCTGAGTTTTGGAGTCAGGAAGCCCTTGGCATAGTAATTGTCAATGCCACCACCCTGACTAAGGTATCCACAACATCAAAGACAGATTACAGAGATGTTTTGGTCATCCAACCGCCCTTGATGACAAATACCCAGCACACATCATGAAAGGGATAAGGCAGCTGAGCCTCAAATCTGGCCATAGCCAAACAATTAAGAAACTCTTATCTGAATAGCAAAGCTTTCTGGTTTACAATTGACATGCTTAGATTTTTTGATGTTGTGATAGACTTGAATCTAACTTGTTGGGCTCTGTCAGTCATTCACTGCTATGACCACCAGGGAGTTCAGGACCAGATGGAAATAGAATCCCATGTTCTCATGTACAAGTACAAAATTGCACTTCTCCAAGGCTTTGCCCTGGCATTGCTGAGGCTAGTATACTCTAAAAGGCTCTTGCAGATTCAAGGAGTATCTCATTAATTAGGAGGGCCATTCTGCCTGGGAC